TTAGGTTGGAGGCCATCGCTAGTAGGGTGGAGGCCATCGCTCTTAGGTTGGAGGCCATCGCTAGTAGGTTGGAGGCCATTGCTACTAGGGTGGAGGCCATCGCTACTACGTTTGGGTGGGATGCACCGTGGATAGTTCAGCCGATGGCGCGGCTGCTCACGGTGCGTGTGGTACTGGGCCTCTCTTTCAAAGAGTTTTGCAGCTTCAAAGAGCTTGTTGCCGAGACTCGCGCGGCGCGGCGTATTGACAGGATTTGTTGAGATGAGGTTGGGAGAGTTGCAGGTGTCAACAGCTTTTTGGCCTCGACAACTATATTCCTGCTTTTGCTTAGGATGTTTTCTATATTTCCTATGGGTGAATCCGCTTCTGGGTAATGTTTTTTTAACTTTCTATTCCCGATTCATTGAGCAAATCCAAGTATAGTGAGTGTATATAGTACTCTTTTGCTTTTCAGAGAAAGTGCGCCAGTGCTTGGAGATTCCAGGGCAGGTTTCAATTAAGACACAGATGGACAAGGATCGACATGAGCTCAGGACATGTTTTTGGGATCCTCAAATTGATTGCAACCTCAGCGGGACCTCGTTTCTAGATCCAATTGCATCGGCAAAATCCAATAACCTCTGTATGGCCTCAGTTTGCATGCCGACGAATGATCTCCAACACGTGTGCTTGGGGAGCCTCCCTACGGGCTCTCTGGATCTTTCCGAGTCCTTTTTCTGCCTAGTGGGCCTAGTGATGTGCTGAAACCAGATCGGGGGCATTCGGGGGGCCAAGGCATGTGTTTTCTTTTTCAACCCTCTACCTTTTGGGAGACTTCAATCCGTCCACGGAAATCGAAGTGTTTCCGCTGCGCATTTGTACATGGAGGTGAGTGTGAAAGGTAGGCTATGATTAGGCTATGTTAGTGATCTTTGTGGAACACTTTCCATCGATAGAATGAGGAATGACCTTCCGAGAATCTTTCGAGACCTTGCTGCCTAAAACAGTGTCATTCGTGGCGTAGTAAAGAGCGCGCCAAAGCTATTCTCCTCACTGTGCACTCACAGTGTTTCCACGAGAGAACTTTTTTGAGGAACCAGTCTCCTTTGCAAAAGGGGCAACAGGGATGTGCCTTTGAAGCAGGGTGTACTGGTACAGATTCAACTTCCAGTTTCAAGATGCCAAAGAGTCAGATGAATGACTCCAAATGGACGAAGAATTCAACTTCGAGGTCCAAGAAGAGCTTCAAAAGCATCCTTGCTACTAGTAAGGCCAGGAACCCCTAGCATCAGAGCGTCCGCTTGCTCCGGTCGTCGCGATGCCAATTCCAACCCATTGGATTCCGGCCCTTCATTCTGATAGGCCGGCCCTCGAACCCTCACATCTCCACGAGACCATCATACACCTTCCTCCCAGACGAATTGGACGCTGTTCTATCATCCTTGCTATCATCCATCCTTTTTCAGTCACATCGCTGAGTTCGTTTCAGAAAGTCCGAGTCCTTTTATGACCAGAAGACGCCTCTTTTCATGAAACGACGACGTGCCTCGGACACCGTGACTCTGAGGTGCCACCGTGGGCCGAGGCAAGAGCGACCTGTCTCCGGTGATCGCCTCTCAGGAGCTCTGTCAGAGAGTGAGGCGGCCCGATTCGACGAAAAACGAATTCTTGAGAAGCATTGAACTCAAGTGATTTGCGACCCTCAAGTTCCCATTCTTCAATCAGACTATATCAGACTATGATCAGACTCAAATCATTCTTGAATCTTCAAGGTTGACTACATTGAACGACAGGGTCGCCAAATCTCCAGTTGAGCTCTGTCCAATCAGACTCCCGTAGACATGCCGCTACGCCGCGTGGACGTTCGCCGTGCGTTCGCCGTGGACGTTCGGGCACGGTTCCAGCGGACGGGCACGCGGAACGAGGTGTCAGGCACCCCTGCGACCAATCTTCTCCTCCCTTTCAGAGAATAACAATTTCAATCCATGGCAAGCTCCAGGCTGATGTCTCAAAGCTATTCCACCTTGGACCAACTGCGTCGCGGTCTGTCAGAGTCAGGAGCTTCCGGCCAGACAGGACAAGGCGCTACTGCCCACGCGCACAAAGGTGCAGATGCCGCGACCGCGACGACCCGGGACCGCGGGTGGATGAGACTCCTGAAGCTCGGACTCCTGCGGACTCCTAACAGTAAAGGCATCTTCAGGCCTCCAACCTAGTAGCTTCTTGTTACTAGCAAGAATGCTCCGTTCGTAGTACGGCCAGGAGCCCCGAACGTAGCATCCTTGCTCCTAGTAGCGATGCCCTTTGCTACTAGTAGCTTCTTGTTACTAAGAAGCTTCGTATTGAAAAGCTTCTCGTTACTAGCGATGGCCTGCAACTTAATAGCGATGGCCTCCACTAGCCACTTCATGCAGTTTCCAAGAACACGTTCAACGCATATCAACTCCCTGTTCTATCATCTTTTCAAGGTGCTTGCCAGCTCTCGAAGATGGAAGGCAGACAATGTGATTCCAGACGTGCTGAAGAGCGCGAAGGAGGTGAATGGCATCCAGGCAGGGTGAATGGAATCCAGCTGGCCTTGACTTGATGACAAGAATTTATTGATTTGGGGAAGCGCTCAAGCGTTTGGCATTCTTGGGTAGTTTTGCTTGATCGATTGAGACCCTTGTGCCAAAACAAGTGTGGATGTTCCCTACATACGACCGATTTAAACTGGAGCCACTTGGAATCTTCTGTAAAGGAACTACCTGGGAGGAACAGACGACTCTGGAAGATGTAGGGCATTTCGCATCCGGCTTTGCAGAGAATGCTGGTGTTCTGTCATGGCAATTTCTTTCTTTCCAGACCTTTCAAACCACTACTTGGTTTTTGCAGCTACTGCAGTTGTTGTAAGTAGATCCTGACAGTTATTTGGATGGATAGTCATCAGTGTTATTATATGTTATTGTCTTCCAGCCCTGCTTTTCCAATGCTATCGGTGTCGGAAGAACGAGAGGGACATCGCATCGCATCACGAGACCTCGAGGGATGGTTCTGTGCGTTTACACAGGAACGACCAGCGCGTGCACTGCTCCGTCCAGCTGGCACAAATAGGAAGCTTTGCAAGCACCTGCACGACCATGGCGACCAGACCTCGAGAGAACTGGAAGACCTCCAGACCCTGAGCCAAGCCCCACCTCAATGACTCAAGCTTTTCATTGGCCCCGAAAACTTGCCACGCCGACCTCCCAACAACCGGCGCCAACAAACCGCCACCTGGGTTGACACGCATGGCACGTGACATGCCGCGTGGATCCAGCTGCTGGGGGCCTCAGACTTCGGAGGTTGGGATGAAGAATGAGACCTTCTAGACTTGCTGGAGCTAACATGGAAGTGGATTGCATGGCCCCTTGGAAGACAAAACAGGTGGTGCCATCCACTTTAGGGAGTCTAGAGATACTATACAATATATATATATAGTATAGGATGCCGGACAAGAATGGCCTGGTGTCAGAGAAGTGCAGAAGTTCTGAGTTCTGGCTCACATCCAGAAAGCACACCATTACAGTTGAACAGCATGTTTGATCATTCATGAGCCTGCGCACCGCTGCAAGCCACCACTCTCAAGCATCGGGGGTGGTGATTTCATTGTCGACCACACACCAGCTAGCTGTGGTGGTATCATCCCCTCTGTGCCACGACGTCGGCGCTTTGCCGATGGTCCGCTTTCAGGTTGATACTGGTAAAGGTCAGCAGAGCACAACCACGCCCAACCAAGAGGCAGCGGGCTCACAGTGGCTCCCAAGACAGCGCCGCTCACATGGGACAAGCTGGTCGAAGACGAAAAGAGCAAGGTCCGACCCAAGGCAGGCAGCCCTCAGTTCGTTCAAAGACTGGCCAATTACAAGACAGATTGGCCTGCCTTAGCAGCGTGTAAAGCATCCGAATCCACCAGGAGCACAACATTGCTCTTGAGAGTTGCCCTGCACTTCCCGAAAATGGCACATGCCCCGATTGCTTATTGTGTGCGACGCGCACAGAGAAAGAACGCAGGCCTTTTCCACGCAGTTCCAAAGGCAGAATAATGCCGAAATAGTCGTAGTAGACAAGTCACCGGTGCATATAATATAGCCACGGGCGAGGAGATTGCTTGGGGGCCTCACGAGCAAAGGGAATAGAAAAATGCAGAGCCAAACGCAAAGCAGGGAAGCTTCAATCTTCGGCCCAGAGGGTATTCATTACTGGTGTGAAACAAGTGTATCACTACCTATTGAATAGGTTGCTGGGTCAAGTCATTAGCGCTGCCAAAGGAAATGTGTCTCAGAAGCACTGGCCACTCTCATCATTCATCGTTGTGGAACTGAAGAGCTGAGGGCGTATGTGTCAATAAATGCATATACACCTGTCACAAGAGCATGCGGGTAAGTCTCATTAAAGGCCGATTGGAGCCGTGTCCTCCTTCTTGACTTGATGCCTTGGGTGGGCCGTTCAGCCTCTTTTGGTCCGCAGGTTTTTTTGTCTTGCGGCTCATAGGAGGAGCCACTGATCCCAAGATCCCCACTCACTTGTACCAAATATTGCGAAATGATACCAGTGTCCAGGAAGAAGATAGACTAAAATCTGTGAAACCACAATTTTATCCCTGAATTTGCTGTTTGGTGTCCAATCACCTCTACGCTCCGTAGTTTCCCAGCGGTCGGCCATTGGTGTACCGACTGGCAAGCACCACCCTTCAGAGTCATTTGCTTCCAGCCTTCGATCATCTTCGATCCAATGCTCGGAGTCCGTTCGATCCGTGGATGATTCCACCGCGCCGCCCATGGCGGGTGGTGGAATTTGGGCCGGTTTGGGCCAGAAATCATCCTGAAATTGCGGCATTGTATTCTTTGGCCGTGTTGTGCCAAACTGACCCTCCATGCCCGCGGTCCCTGGAGGGGGACGCAAGAGAGCGCAAGTGGCACCCCGACCTTGCGTCACCAGCCGCCGATTCTGGCTTTCACCTCCGACGCCGGGTGACGCGCAAACCGGGAAGGCCTCTTGCGCCTGGTGGCCCTCTTGGGCGGAACATGCTTCGTAGCGCCCCAACTTTCGTGCGGCACTGAGAACGTCAGACTTTCGTGTGCATCGGGCAGAAAAATCAGGGCATGTCCATCCCCGGGGGTTCCATCAAGGGGCCAATCCGAAATCTGACACTCGAAATATTTGGAGGTCTCCATGAATGAGCCAGATTCAGTCAAAGAATGTAAAAAAAAACAATCTCCATTTGTTTGAACATGTTTGAACCCTTTGTGGTCGGTTTTGTTTGCCACGGGCCTGAAGCCTGAGGCCTCCTGGATCCGAACCTCAGGGTTGGAATCAAAAGGGAGTTGGTGAATGAAAAACATGTGTTTCATTGGATTCTCATTTTCTGCAGCATGTTTTAGGATGTTTTAGGTTGGGTTTCTCCAATGACATGAGTAATATTGAGTAATCATGTTCTCACATTGGGCAACGAACCAAGTCCCTTGAGTCCACCTAGCTTGCAACTGGCAGACTGAAGTCTCCTGAGTCTAGCAACTCGCTTTGCAATATGCTTTTGAATGGTTTTTTGATGCCTTTTGTATCCTTCTGTCAGCTTTCCCTATCCCCAGAACTAGGAGACATGGGGTCACGACCTCTGTTTTCTTTGTTCAATCGCCGGTGAGAGTGAAGAGTGGCGTCCACTTGAAGATCGTGTGTTCGTTTGAGATCTTTCGTTGGATATCCACCCTTGTGAAAGCGGGGAGATGTTGGCACCATACACGCTTGGAGGTTCAAAAGACACTTAGAAAGACAAGGAGAACACAAAACGTCTTCATGGTCCATGGACGCAATCTTCCCCCACTTGCTCAGCTCCAGCTGCCGCCAGGGGCCTGCAACGCCAGCAGAGCGCCATTACCAGGCGCAAAGCAGTTGTCGGTGCTCTTCTGGAGGGAGGCATTGTGCAAGACAAGATTTAATCTTCTGATATCTTCTGACCACACTATTGACCTCGCGGTTCACTCGAAGCCAAAAGTAAGAAAAGAACGTAGACGTAGCAAGTTGGCATTGCATGTGACCATCCCTCATGTTTCTTCACCCGAAAAGCTACAACACCACACCCCCTCATTTCATAGTGTGTGTTATATTTACGTGCAAAGAAACACGTGGGATGGTCCCTCTGTTGAGGCATGTGGTGGAAGTGCCTGGTGGCTTGAAAAATGGTGTCAAGATGGTCATGGATGGTCCGGGCCCAGCGACGCGGGGCGTGTGTGGCTCCGGCAGTGGGGAGGACCAGTGCCCAGGCTACGATCCGTGCGTGCTAGGCAGGTTGGAGAAACACATGTTTTGTGTGTGAAGTCGTTCAGATTGAAGCTGCCTTAATAGTTCTGTGGATTAGGATGACATGGGACCCTGGGATGACTAGTCTGATGTTGTTTGTTACGGGAGTTTTTTCTGAATCGATGAGTTAGGGAGGCTATATAGATCCTATAGATGTGGACAGGCCACGTGGACAAGTCATCTTGCGGTCCCGGGAGTGTGGGGCTGGAGGTTCGAAGAAGTCGACTCTTTACCTGACATGTTGCAGATTGGCATACTGGACACCCCAGTCACCAGTGGACTGGCAGAGAACGAGAACCAGAGGCACTCTAAGAGGCTTCAAAGGCTTTTTGGTGGAAAAGCAGCTGAGGTTCCAAAAGCAGCAATTGATTTTCGGAGGGATGTGACACGTCTCTTGCACTTCAAATCATCTAAAGACCCTGGATCCGGTAAAAGCTCCGTGGTGACAGCCCTGGTGGACAGTGCCAGCTCAGATGAGCCTTGGATGCTCATGGGCCATACCTCCAAGAAGCAGGCAATGTCGTCAATCTCGTGTGCGGTCGCATCAAAAGTTCATAAAAGTTCCAGTTCCGCAGGGGCCGGGAGTTTAGACTTGCACGAGGAGGTTTGCTCAGGGTTCCCTATTTGGATTGCAAGAGCAAGATGCGAAGTTGTGGATTGACGTGATGTTTTTATCGTTTCTTTCACTTGTAATTAGTTCAAACACACACCATGACCATGGGCCCCCAAAGGGACCATGTTTTCTTTGAGCAATGGGCTTGCATTTTAATGGACCTTGGATGATTCCCTATGTCTTGAGCCATAGGCACCTAGATGAACAAGTATCACAGAAACTAATTCGTCGTTGGGCTTTTTGCTGGTTTTGGGTGAAATCAGGAGATCTCAAGAAATAGAGGACCCAAATTGATTGAGGTTGCCTCTTGCGCCAGTTGGTCCATTTCCATGAGCAACTTTTTCCACCTTTCAGCGCTCGTGACCGTGACCACGCCAACTGACAACAGAAAGTGGCCTGTGAGGATCATAGGGTGGTTTCAAGGTCGAATCATTTAGGAACACTCACCCATGTTTTTAGAGTAGCACACCCAGAGCAGCCCACCTGCAGTCGTCCCAGCCCAAAGCGACCCCAGATAGACCCAGTTCCATTTCTTTCAAGCATTGTGGCGCTGCTTTTTGGGTGCGCCGTTTTTGGGTGACGCAGCCCCAGCTACATCGCAGGTCAAACCATGACCTTGAAGGGCGGGGTGTTCCGATGTGAAACCGTTATCCTTTTGCAGAAGCCAAAGACTGACGAATTCAATGTTTCAATGTTTGCGAGAGCCACGCATCAAACAACGAAATGCCGCCCATCGCAGGAGTGTGTAAAGCAACACAATTCTGTCCGTTTGTCCCTTGTGTTCTCCTCCAAAGCATTCCAAAGCTGTTTTGAGTCATTCCTCCAGCTTTTAGGAGTCTTCTGTGGCCTTTTTCCACAGCCCACAGCGCAGGGCAAGGGCGTGGCAATCACCAAGGCCAAGGTGAAGAACATGCGCCCTGCCATTGACTGACACGTCTTTAGAGAGAGTTCTTTAAAGAAAAAACAGCTTGGGGAAGCATCGAGGATGCAAACGACACACCTTACAGACTTGCAGACACGTATATATAACTATGCATGATCATATAATCTACAGCATGTATTTACATGCCTTGTAGACCTTGATCACCCGAAAAAAAGTGTGTATGCGATACAGTATTGCCAGTACAAAGAGGTCAGACATAGTTTCATGTTTGAGGGCTTCAAGTTTCTTTACTCCACCAAATCTAAGGTTCACAGGCGCCATCGTGGAGAAGACGCCACTTGGTGGGGTTTGCCATCAAGTCAAGGACTTGCCGATGGGGCGGCGAAGGGCTGGAGACATTTAAGGGCAATATCGGCAATATATTTTATAATCGTCATCTTCTTTTAGGCTCGTTTTTTGGTCCTGGTGGGTAGTCAAGGCAGACAGCTAGCAAGCAAGTAAGTAAAGGAATATCGGAGGGTAGCAGTTCCAACTTGGAGCATATTATTTGTGGGCCGCCCAAAGGCAACATATTTGCAATAGGAGTATACCAGTATACCTTTAGCCGTGGCCAACCACGGCTAAAATCTCGAGCGGAAACGACGAATTCCAAGAAATGTTGGAGCACACCTTTTGTGGGCCACCCTTACGGTCAACAACTTAAAGCAAGGAGCAATTCCAACTGGGGACAGTCGTTTTGTGGGCTCAAACGTAGAGTTTGGACGATCCGAGCCCAAAGGATCCATTGCAGCATGCCGTAGTTGACGATCCGATGGTAAAATCTAGAGTTGGGAGGTGTCATTCCAATGTAGGGCCACCTGAGGGTGAATCTTAGAGCATTGGAGCTTTGAGCTTTCTTGTTTTTTGTTGTTTTCATTCTTTTCTTCCACAGGTTGTGTGTGGGGCTGCGCCCTCTCCGCTTGCTCCTTTGATGTTTCCGTTGCCTTCCGCTTTCCTGCCATTTCCATGGAATTCCGTGCTCAAGAACAAGCACAACCAACCAGAACCATTGAAACAAGATGTGTTGTTTTCCGGCAAGTTTTCTATTCCAAACAATCGCTGTTGGTCTGTTTCAGCATGGGGGTATGATGGAGATTTCCAGGCATTTTGGGCATGATGACAATGGTTTCTGGGAGGTATTCTAGTTTGACCAACACCCGGATCTTAACAGATGGCTCGAAATGAACATGATGCAGAGGCAGAAGTGCACGGATTCTATGTATGATTCCAACTTGTCAGTCTTGTCAAGGGGTGCTTGGGTGGTATTAGGACCATCTCTGGAGTCAAGGCCAGGATGTGACATTATCATGTGTATGTAAGTGTAGATGATCCGAACAAGTCTACCATCACTAACATGTTGTCTATAGATGTCTAAAAGAATCAGTCGCTGGATTGTCCTCCAGTTGCAGTTTTCCTCCCGAAGTCTTTTTCACTGAAGATAAACATATGGTCCACCATGTTGAAAACCCTGTGCGCCTGTGCTCTGTGTCCAAAAACGGCTGTCTTCGACCGCCCCAGAGGTTGAATTCGGGCACCAAGTTCGAAGAGGTCGAGACCACATGGGAAGGCGCAGAATGCTCGGTGGAGACAGTTCGCGGCGTTCGCCCCGGGGGGGGAATGAAAACGGCCGCAAAACTGGGCGGCGCCCGACGTAAGATGTCTGGGCAGAACACATCGCGAAGCGCGACACAGCGAATCCCCATCTCTGCTCTTTTTTTGGGGGGGTGGGCCTATCAATCAACAATTCACATGCGGGGGAGCTCTGACGCTACAAACGTTCATTGACTCGAGAACTGGACGTCTTTGGGAAGAGGATTGTACGACCAACCAGGTGGCGGACCTTTGTAACATTTTGTAACCCTCCATGTAGCCCAGGTTGCCGAGGTCCATGATACATGGATACCCTAGAGGCCCTAGAAGTCCAAAGACATCCAAAGACTATATTGTGCCTCACCGAAGGAAAGGAGGTTTTTTCTTAAAAACGTCTTGGAACTTCCAGGGGACCGTCCCGTGGCATGTTCCGACCTGTCCTGTGGACTGACCCACGGAGATCCGCGGAGATCCACGTCGATCTCCAATGGAGCCCCGCTGGTCGTGGCAGTTGGCACCTTCACCCACAAAGATGAAGATGATGGCACCTACCATGTCATGGACATGGAGAGCTTCGAGGATTGGAGTGGACATGATTGCGCTGGACAAGGTTGAGTGGAACCAGGGAGGCTTGCCTTGCTGAAAGAGCCAATTTCGATGGGTGAAAGCGGTCAGGAGCACTTTCCACACATGTTGATTGGTTTTGGTCATATCTCCGAATTCAGAATGGTTTGCGACTTCGATGTTGGTCCATGTTGGTCATACATAATATGGTGATATATCCTCCCGAGGGGTGGGGCGCCTTTGCTGCAAAATCATTGGGGGACGGAGAGACCGTTGCCAGGCAAGTCGGATGCCATGCAACAACCAATGTTAGAATTATATATAATAAGGATTAATAACTCCTGCAAACTACATGTTTGGTAATGAACACAACCTCTCACCAGTGCTTTGTTCACAGGTGTGCACTCCAACTCTGAACATTTCCAATCAGCTGGTGGCTCCATCCGCCTTCAAACCTACCAGAGTACCTACCAGGATTCCGCTCCATCCAGCTCACTCCATCCGCCACCGCGACGGCGAGGACCGCACCTTAGAGGCCGACGTGTTGGGCGAGATGGCCGAGTGGCTCCAGGAGGCGTCCTCGTGAACCCGCCGGGAGTCGGACGTAGCGGTAGCGTCCGGTTGGGGTCTGCGTGACTCGTGAGCTTCGGTGGAAGAGTCGGGATCCGAAGAAACACCTAATGTTTGTGTTATTCCAGTCGATTTGGACCGACCAAACCAAGTCAGGGACACACATCAACAGGTCGCGAAGAACACGGAACTGGTCAGGGGCAGTCCGTCGAGTTGGAGGTTTGGAATGACAAGATCATCAGCATGCAGGCGCAACCGGGCTGAGGTTTGGCTTGATGTTTCTGTTTTTCTCGAAGCTTGATAGAGGATCAAGAGAGGGTTTATGGGGGTTTGCAAGGCATAGAACATGATAGAACTGGTCAGGTGAAGGTCATGTGTGTTTTTTTTGGCTCCAACACTCGTAGTTACACGCGACTGTTCAATGGCCATAGACCCTAGATTCTAGACTCTTGAGGTAATAGCGATGGCCTCCAACCTACTACGATGGCCTCCAACCTACTAGTGGGCTCCAACCTCAGGGAGAGAGAGGGAGCACCCAACTCTTGAGGTAGTACCAAATTCTTCACCCTTCCCTCCCCCCGTAAATCCACAAAACCAACTCTTCATCGTCCTTTCCGCAGTTCCCGGATGACATCATCATGGAGGTCACCGACATCAAACAGTCCAAGGACAGTGGCCGCGCCCGGAACACCCAGTGCCGGGCCGTTTTTGGGACCGGAGACCGGACCTGCACCGGATGTGACCTTGGGAACACATCTTCACAGGTTTGGAAACACCAGTTCAATAACAAGGTGGCAGGAAGAATGAACCGGGTTGATCACGGTTCTCATCGTTTTTAGAATCTCCTTGGTGTTGTGTGCAAGTATGACTCACCAAATGGGTGTTGTTATTTTTTTGCCGATGAGCCAGATGAACCTTGGTGGGTTGAAAAAGACTGCGCTTGCAACAGACTGCGTGTTCCAGAACCCTGCGCGTGGTTTCACCCATGCTGGGTTCGTCCCCCATATCCATGATCCTGCATGCGGTGGGTGTTTCAGCCCCCATGTGTGTCGCGCGGAGCCACCTTCGGACAATGAACCCAGCGACTTCCTCCCGGCTGGGGGGGAGTCTTCCTCCCGGTGACTGCAAAAAGAGTCTCAGTTTCGAAGAAGAACACGCAGAAAGACCTGTGGAGGTCAAACACATTCACTGTATGTGTGAATGTCCGTTTACCAGGTTTTGAGGGTTTTCCCATGGTTTCCCTGGGGTCCGTGCCCCTAAGGATCAGATCGTGACCTTGGAGAATGGTGTCTCCAAGCAGGCGCCTTCCTACATCAAGGCACCCGTTGCGCGATCCGTTGCGGTGAAGCGCCCCCCCCGATCACCAGGCGTTTTCCTGGTGGTGGATGACTCTTAAGGAGGATATTTTTTACACCCAGGGAGATGCCGAGCCTGTTCTGGTTAATATGAATATACACATGTGCCTGTATAGGGGGGGGTTCGAAAGCTGTTGAGTTTTGACGGTACATTTCTTTAGACGACGTATTGGGAACCTTTCTACAATGGGCAGTTTCCACGTGGAGGGTTTTGACAGTAAGTTCCTTTAGACCCAAAAGAGGGAAGAAGGTCACCCCTCACCTACGCAAGACCCTGAAGGCATCCTGGGTGTCCGTTGGTTTACTAGAGCTGAGAACGCCAATGATTCACACTAACTCTCCAGGTGCACAAGCAACTCTCCAGGTGCCCGTTCTCCCAAACCAGCAACTCCGGTCGACTTATTCAGAAACTGATACTGATACGACAACTGTCTGTGTCTGGATTTGTTGAGGGACCAGCCATGCAAAAATATTCATCGACTAAGCATGTATTGGGAACCTTTCTACAATGGGCAGTTTCCACGTGGAGGTTGGTGCATGGTTTCCATGATCCAGACATATATATATATATTATCTAGAGTGAGCTGGAGGGGCCCTTCGGACAGCTTTCCAATCAGTGCATGTTGAGCCTTCCGGGCGAGTGAGAGTATGTACATGTATTGTACCACCATCCGCAATGACTTCTTTGGAGGAAAGATGCATGTAGAATGATGGCATGATTTATGGAAACCTGCAGAAGTTGAAACTGTTGCCTGTTTGGGTGTGAGGCCAGGCCTATTATTCAAGATGATCCTGTGCAATCTCAAAGGAAATCCTACTCATCATACCACCCCCCCTCAGAACTCCTAGCTCGAATCCCAACGTTTTTATGGCAACTCTCCGTAAGAGACACCACTTGGAAGACCAGTTTTCAGCATGTTCTTTAACCCCAAACCCCTCCCATGTTTTCATTGTTTTTTCGCTGCCACTAGCTGAACACTTTTTGGCAGGTGGGCGACAAAGTCAAGGTGGACAAGAAGAACTTCGAAATTAAGAAGCGAAGCTAAGTGCGGGGTGGATTAGAATGACCTCACACAGCTAGCAAGACCGCTGAAGTAGAGAATCTCTAGAGTGGATTGCCATAACAACGTTATAGATTTAGTGAAAGTATGTCGTTAGCAACCTGAGTATTTCAAACAGAAGCAGGCTTTCTAAATGTTTAGTCGACACTGGTAGACAACTCAGTCCTTTGGGCGTCGCGCATGCGATCCAAAATTGATGCCTCCCGATGCATGTCTTGGGTATCAATGGCGGGTTTTCAAGGCAGTTGATGCCTCCCGATGCAGGTGAAAAACGGTTCTGAAAGTCTGAAGCCTTTCATACGCTTCGCTCGTAGGACTCCACATTGGCTGCGAAGTAAACGAAGTAAACTCATTTGAAGGGTAGATCAGCAAGGAATCGGAGCAGTAGCGTAGTTGTAACCTTTTAGGGGCGCAATTCAACAAAGCCAATAGTGTTTAAGGATGCCGGGAATGCAGGTGGTCCTTCAGCTAGCTAGGGCCACGCTGCTTTCAGGTGCCTTTCGTTAATGAAAGCCCGGTCAGAAGGGGGATGGGATGAAGATTGTCCCCTGAAAAAACTGGGCTATTATTTTTTCCTAATGTCTTTGGACACGACCATTCTACAGTATATAAAGGACAAGGCCAGCTTTGCACCCCGCAGAGCTCAAGTTTTCAGTTGCCCACCGCAACGCGCTTTTCGTGCCGTCACCTTGCGCCAGCAAGTGCTTGCACCGTGCGGTTGTTTGTCCCCTTGGTTGGAAGGCCCATGAAGCAAGTCTAAAAGCATCTAAAAGCTCTGGGCCGGCTCATGTTGAAAGCCCACGACTTGGCTTGAAAGACCAGACTTCTCTTCATGTATTTTATATAGAATCAATGAGCAATTTATACATACTGGTGACTATGATGGCAAGAAGATTTCCCCTTTCCTGATACTTGGTGTGGGGGTTAGGTGTGGGAAGGGTACCCCCCCGAAAGATCAGCCCAGCCAGCCGAATGAACTACTTCGACGCCTCGACGACCACCGCGCGGATGCGAAAACACGACCGGCAGCACATGGATCTGCGAGACAAACCGGACCAAAAGGCGCTCGAGGCCGTCCGATGCGACAGAACCGCGACTCGTGCAGAACGGGCGACGTTGATGCCAACCTTGGTGGCGATAGGGTCGAGAGATGCTGTCGAGGCCGAGGCATCAACTCGAAATGGTTGCTGCAACGTAGCGAAGGAGTCACACTCGAATGGGTTGCTGAAGCCCGACCAGTCCACCATGTGCCTGCGAAGGACCGACACCTCAGCGATGACGGTATTCCACACTGCCATGACCCACAGCCAATGTGAGTTGAATTGTTGCCAAGACCAAGTGGATTTTTGCCAGACCAAGTCTCATGTTTCTTGTGATGTTTTCGACACCCCCCTGTTTCAGTTCTTTTCTGGTGTCTGAGGGTTGGGTAAGTAGGGGGAAGCAGAACAATTCATGTTTCAACTGGCTTTTTTTACATTGAGTGATGAACATCTCGCCATTTCAGAGACGTACAGTGGCCATTTTTGCTAGGACGTCGTCATTGCAGAATAACTCTACGGAACCCACCGAAGACTGCGCCGCAGACTGCATCCCGTTTCAGGCCTCTGTGGGCGCCTATGCCGACAACGACGACCTGGCCGCGACCTCGGCGGCGGTTTTGGGGTGTGACCTGGGCTCGTCCGGCTCTCCCGTTGGAGCGCTTTCTTTGTGCCGTTTGGCGCGTTTGGCGCGGTTTGGCGGCAGCATGAAAAGAAGAAAAGCAAGCAAGAACATCAAGAGCTTGGTGTTGCTGAGGAGGGAGGGACTTGGGAGCCGGGGGTCACTCGGAGCTGGGGACTCGGGACTTGTATCCATATTTGTCTCATGAAACAGGGAGCTGGGTCACTCGGAGCGACCATGGGAGTATTCCCCCAACCCCGGCAGCGACAGAGGTGAATTTCACAGGGGAACTGGGGACCACTATGGACCACTTCCAAACGGTGCCGGTGTTTGTTCCCCAAAGCGGCAGAAGAATGCATCACCAAGGGATACCCAAGGCAAATCCTTCTCTCTACTACTAGATGCGCGAGCTCCGATTTGTAAAAGAAGTGATCTAGCACGGCTTGTGAGAGGAAGGAGAATCTGCCCACTCTGCCCTGATCCTTCACTGGGAAGGGCCCGGGATTAGGTCCCACCCCCTCACCTCCTCAGGAGAGCTTCCATTGAGAGACATGTGCCTGGCCAAAAGCTTGCAGCTGCCACTGAGACAGTCCATGTGCTGGGTAATCTGAAATGATCTGAAAGACATTCGTTGGCAGCTCTGAAGCGATTGCCTCCTCGGCGCTTTTCATTCATGTTTCACCCCGAAGATGTGCGAGTGCGATTCGGCCTCGGTCAAGAAGAGGCTGACGAGTCTCATAAGTGGGTTTCTTGCTTGAAGGTCAGCAGAAAAACCTTTGCGATATATATATATATATATATATGCTCAAGTCTAGAATTTCAATTTCCAACTCTTCCTTTGAATGCTGATTTGTTGGAAGACTAGGTGATCAGTTTCTTTTTTTTTCATGAAATCAATAAGCACTTGTCCAGACAAAAGATCCTGATTTTTTAAAATCACTTACAGTATTTCTCCGTAATCACGTCTTCAGATTCACTCGATGAGCAGCCAAACAGGCCACCTCTGGCGCCCACTGGCCACCTTTGTGATGTGTTGGACCATGGGAACTAACGGAAGTCTCCTCAAAAGGAGTGATATGTTTCTTATTGAAAGAGTCAGTCATGCCATTTTCTCCACTGATGGTAGATAAGATGTGATATATTCAAGGGTCATGGTCATGGTCAAAGCATTTTGTAACATTTCAATCACAGGACCTCATCCATATAGAGAAGGGTGTTTCACCAAATATTCACCATTTCATTATTTCATAGCATTTCCATCGCTGCCACCATTCTGAATGACTTCATTGGAGGTTTGGAGGATGCGTCTCATTGCCAGCTGTCGGAGTCGCTGTTACACAGGTGGATTGCAATGAGTGAACTGTCTGCGGAACTGCGATGCAACCTTTGGCTCCAGGGCTTTGGAGAGGAAGAACTGAGGGAAGAGGAACTTGTTGAGATTCAAGCTTTCCAGCAGCCTGGCGGCAGAAGGGAGCGAAACTGGTCCTGGGATGGTCCAGGGATGGGCAGGGATGGGCAGGTGGGTGTTACGGGCTAAACGTGGTCGGAGGAGAGTGGTGTACCACAGATCAATTTCGTTGTTTTTGCAAATGTTGGCAGCAAGCGGTTTCCGGGTATGATTTTGGGATGCACGAACGCGGAATCCAATTTTTGGACACGTAGAAAGACACGTGACACAGTGTTTTTTTCAGTGAATTTTCCAGTATGTGCTGAATGTGCTGTTTGCTTAAAGACCATGAGTGCCCCGGTCTTTTGGGGAATTGGGGGGGGAAGAGACTTAGACATGCAAATGGTAAAAGACATGCACAGGGTAAAGAAATCCTTCTTCAGAAAGTAACAGCGACAGGGAAGTTCCTGTAACTGTCGCGATTGCGGAAACTCTTCAGTCTTCTGCACTGAGCTTGTGTGACGTACAAAGGGTGCAGAGGCTGCTATCTGTGAAGAACTCCACCAGGATTGCAAAGAATGGCTGATTGTTGATAGCACCTGGCTGAACAAGCCTTCACAACCTGGATCTTCCAACCATGCAACATTTCTGCCTTTTGGCTGGTCTTATAGATGACTTTTGCACAGCTGGAATATCCAGGTACAGTATACCCTTTGTACGTGATAATTCCGTGTGTTCCAAACCCATGTCTATAGTGTACAACCCTCCATACGCTTCGATGCTTCCGGTTTCGATCGCTCGGAAGGTCATGGCGCGCGGTATCATCAAGCACCTGAAGCGCATGTATGCCGGGGCGCCGGACGAATTGCATATCCTTCACATCCAAAGGAGGCATATCCTGAAGAATTGCATATCCCTCACTCTGCACATCTGGAAGAATTGCATATCTTACCTTTACACGTATTTGTATTTCTTCTACCTTTGCATCTCAATGCAAAGTCATCTGGGGGCGGGGCAAACACGCCTTTGACTCCATGCGCCACTCTAATTATGTAGGTCCTTAACCCATATAACCAACGGTGCGCCCAGAGCAAGATTTGGGGTCAATGGAGTGGCGTGGAGCAAAACTTTGAGACCAGGTCTACAAAACTTCAATGAACAGGAAAAGACTCTCCACAGATGGATGACTTCTTCCTATCCCAAACCGCGCCGTTTTGGAGAACCATTGGACACTTTTCTCCACCCAGGCGCCCAAGCAGTGGATGCTGGACAAGCTCCGCGGACGATGGGCCGGCGACCTAAGTGGAGGGACTTCCGGCATTTGGAAGACGCCAGTGCAACCTGGATCTGAAGAACCTCATTGAGTACACTCCGGTGAACTAACATGGAAGTGGATGTTGCAGGGAGAGTAGTAGTACTTCTTGTATGACCAGATTGTGTCAAAGGATCTCCTTGACTTGTGTCATTTCTCGTCCATGCCAATCGGACGTGATCAAGGGGCCCTTCAGGAGTCACACAACAGACAAACAGACAGATTGGTCGATTGCCAGTGGCATGCATCTGGCTTTCTCTTATCAGAATGTCTCAAGCAAAACAACTCATGTCACCAGACGGGCAACCCTTGGTTTCCAAACCCAACCTGTCGCCATTCCCATGTCGCCCCATGCTTTCGTTGTTGGCTCCGCCGGCGCTGCCCGTCCGAGGCGCCCAAGCCCAATGCCGGTCCCCACAAGCTGCGGGAGTGTCTTCCTCTCATCGCCCCTTGGGTTGAAGAACCAAAGGAGCCACAAAAAGGGCGCGATGAAGGGAGAGAGAGAGGGACGTGTACGTCACCGTTGCTCCGTTGCTAGCTTAGCGCGGACGAAGAAGCGCGATGAGCGTTCGGTTCTCTGGAGTGATGGGGCGGGTGAATCGAGAATCGTGAACTCGTGCAAGGACAGAATTGGTAAGTTCGGAACAAGCATCTAATAAGAATCTAATAAGTGTTTGTCTGAAGAATCGTTTGTTAAGAGAGGCTTGGCCTGCAAATTAGACAGCCGCTCAGCCACCCCAATTTTCGCGGACCAAATGTCCGGTGCGGGACTTGGAGGTTTGTCGGTCCCAGTTCGAGTGTCTGGGTGTCAGGTCTCAACTCGCCCAGTGCTCGGACAGCCACCGGATCTGAGGTGATGCTGCGACAGCGGTTGAAGTATGCCGTGATCTCAGCGGAGAAGACGAACGAGCGTGTTTGACGTCGGCTCACGGTGCTGGCACTGGGCAGCCCGGCTCGGTAATTTCACACTCCTCACATGTGCCACAATGGCTTATATTTACTACGTACCGGGTGGGCGTTCTCTTTCGTTCCAGGTCAGGAGCTGCCAGGAAAGTCCCAAGTCGAAAGCTTACTCCTGACAACCTAATTCTGCGCCGCTTTTTTGTTCTGGCTGAGTTCCTACTTGGTGACTCGCGGGCACCAGGCAAAACCACTTCAGGGACCAAACAAAGCATACTTGGGGGGTGCTTGGTGTGCAAGGGATGTGGAACACGACCTATAGAGTCAGAGGACTTCAAAGACCTGGCAATTGCCAGCTGACCGACTAAACAGATTTTTCGCAAGTTGATATGTCGAGTAGTTCACAGCACTTCAAAGCAATTCACGAGCTGCAAAACTCCAATGGGTGATGGAGAAGAGTCTGGAAAGTGACTCAGTGAGTGACCTTTTGGGTGAATAGAAAGTCACATGCCTGTCAGTCAAGCGGTTGTACTGTAGGTCAACTTCTCTTGAGAAGTGCGGTTTCTATATGGGCGAGTGTTGGCAACACCATTTGTAGATATTCAAAGGTGTGCTCTCACAACTGTTTTTTACTGCGGTTCTTCAGAACGATTGAATCAATGTAGACATGCCCTGAACAAAAGCTTGGCCCAACGTTTGACCCGTTTGCGGCGCCTCAGGCCGGGTGGTTCTGTCTCCTCACCCGACCCGAAACACGCCACGGTGCCGCCGGCCCCTTGAGGCGCTGACCTACCGTGAGGTGAAGATGATCGTCATGCAGCGATTCATCAAGGTGGTGTGGAGCCCTAGGGGAACTTCTTCGTCTGGGAACCCTGATTTTTGTTCGACTCGCTTGGTTTGGGGGGGGAGGTTGGTTTGCACAGGTGGGCCTGGAGCCAATAAGAGCAGGTCATGGGGCCATGTGGGGAAGCTCTTCTCGGTTCGTGGTCGAACGGTGAGGGGTCGAAAGGTTGGGGTCACGTGAAGGGTCGAGGAGCTCCGAGGACCAAGCTTCGCCAATGGAGTCGGAATCGGAACAGGACAAAGCTTCCCGATTCCCAACGTTTCCCGGCTGAACTTCATCTTCTATGCATGTTGGGAGTTCGTATGACCAACGATACAACATGCGGCCCATTGAGATCATTGAGAGGTCTTTCTTTGCAGGGAGGTTGGGTCGAGCTGATGTTTTCCTCAGGTTACCTTTAAACTTTAAACGCAACAATGGGTTTGATGCCTGACCCTTCAGACACTTGCTACAGTTGAAATCTAGAGTACTCACTTACCCAGTGCCAGTTGATCAAATTACCACTCTCTCTCTCTCTCTCTCTCTCTCGGTAGGAAACCTGCAGCACTGTCGCAAAACACGTGGTTCCAACGACAGACACAAAGACACCCGCCCCCCCCGCCAGGTTCCGAAGACGAGTCTAAAAACACCACGTGGTTCCGCCGGACGCGTCCTCCGCGTGACCGCTACAAACGCGTGTTCGCCCGACTCAGGATGGGAAGGTCCGAAGCGACATGTTCTACCCTGCGGGCTTCATGGATGTGGTCCAGATCGAGAAGACCAAGGACGGTGGACACACCGTGGGAAACCACCGCACCGACCTGCGAGGCAAACCGGAGCGGGTGTTCACCGGTTTCCACCGGTGCATGTCACTGAGAAAGGAGGCCAAAATTTGGACGTCCAGAGAGAGCAAGGTGCTTTGGACGCAAGGTGTTTGGTTCCACTTTTGCCACCAGGCTGTGAATGTTACCACAATGATTACTAACTAGGCCCGTCCAATCGACCCGCGCCCACCTGTTCTTTTGCTCTCAGAACGGTTATATAGACACTGACACCCTGCCATGTCATGTTGTTTCCATCCAAAAGCAACCCTTTGAGAGGAACTCTTCAAAGATTGCAGCGACCGACAGGAGAACTTCCGCCTGCTTTACAACACCAAGGGCCGCTTTATCCTGCACAAGGCAGGAGGATGTCGCTTCGGAACTTTGTCCCACCCAACTAAACAACACAAGGGGTACGATTAGGGGAACTTGTCTTTACAACATTTTACATCATTTTACAAACAAATGCAAAGAGGGTCGTGCGGGAGGGGAGTCAAGGTGAAGCTACAGACCTAGTGCCAGGAAAAATTCATTGCAGGTCTCACCAAACCCTGCTCCTAAAGTCCCTTCAATATCTCAAGATATTCCGATCTCCCATTTGCACTCCTCCAAATCTGCCAAAAGGCATCCCTCAAGACTCCGTCGAACTTTGGCCCATTTTTGGGGGGGTCGGGTCGCCCAGCGATTGTCTGGAACACTCCGAGGTGGCCAAGGAAGAGGCGAATTACAAGCTCTGCCGGGTCAAGAAGGTGATGCGAGGTGGAACAAAACTACTCCGCGACTTCTCCGCGACACGCGAGCGGAAGTTTCTTTGTTCTTTCGTGAGAGTCGACTCCTGGCAAGTTGGGTGATTCCCGTCGAAAGTTGGGTGAGGAAAGTTGGTTTGAAGACGCCGCGACTGTCGGGCGGAAGAAGGGGTCGACCCAGAAGAAGGTCCCGGTGAATTCTGGGCTCAGATTGGAGGATTCTTGGCTCAGTTCGGCTCAGATCCTGTTGGCAGGCCTCTTGATGCAAACCACGACTTGGGAATGCTTTCGCCCCAAAATTTCCATCAACTTCTTGCTGAAGGCGTGCCATCCAAGCCCCAAGGCCTTTCAGAAGTCCATACTGGTTTGAATGGATGGAAGCCCCATCTCAGACTGAAAGCATCCAGACATGCCGCAGATTATCACGAAAGGTAGATTCAGCCACCATGTATTGGAATTGGATGGAATTGGTTTAAGATTTGTTTTGACATGCCCCGTGGGGGGTCAGCCCCTTGGATGCTTGGCATCCATTTTGCAGGATCCTTTCGGCTATACAAAGATTTGTTGCGTGGAGATAGCGGAGTCAGTTTGCTGCTCTCCTCTCAGCTGCCAATGGTTTGGTCTTCCTGGTCCAAAGGGGGCTGACGAAGCATGTCTTAAGGATCAGTCTCACACTTCAGCTTTCACACCAGCATGCAGCATGCTTCGTTGAATGCATTCTGCCCGTTTCACTCGTGGCTTCACCCGCCAACACCGCCAGGCCCCCGCGGGGTGCCTTATGCGGTGACCCACGACGGACGTACCATCCGCTACCCGGACCCTGACGTGAAGGCAGAACCCACCCACCGGGGTGGTGAAGATAGGTGGAAGATGGTGGGAGGTGGTGGGGATGAGAGATTATTTCATGGTGTTTCGTTGATATGGATTTTGCTTCCATTTGCTTCCTATGCGACTGGCAATGACTATTATATACTGTACATTATATACACATTCTAAAAAAAATATATAGACACCCTAATTAAAAAAAAAAATATATAGAGACACCCTAATTGACTCCTCCGGATTTCCCCGCCTCTCTGAATCCATCCATCGCCACGAACGCGCAGGCTCACGACACGGTGCGGTGGGGGCGTCCCAGGTGCACGTCGCTGCGGCGGCAGTGGCGACGTGAGGTCTCTGGCGTTGAATGTGAAGGTTCCTGCAGTTTGGTGTCGGTTCCTGGAGCGAAGATGGATAGGTTCCAAATGGTTACCCTTATAATCCATTATATGTCTATATGTTGCCACACCTTGCGCATCCTGGTGCCCACCGAGTTCGGGGTTCCCATCTCTCCTTTCTGCACCTACCCCTTGCAAGGTCACCGTACCGAACTCAAACGTCACGAATTCCAATTCTTTTTGATGACTGAAAACTTTACACCAAAGTTGAACAGATTAGGTTGGTTTGATTGTAATACCAGACTATAAAGCAACTTGCAAAATAAATATATATATATATATATATGAATATATATGCATATTGTATATATGTTAATTAGTGAAGTGTCAATAGATGCACATTAAAAAAGACCTATCACACCCTTGACTCACCAGCACACGTCCTTATTCCAGCCCCAGCTTTTTGGGGCTTTCGATGCGCCACATGTATTTCCAAAGACCACGGACTAACGCGGTGTGTTTTGTGTGTTTTCCCATCTCTCGGTGTTTGGCTCTCGGTGTTTTGCCTCTTCTCAGGTTGGACCTAGAGACAGGTAAGATCCTGGACCACGTGAAGTTCGAGCCCGGCAACGTGGCCGGGGGTGGCCCAGTGTAGTTTTCACCGTGCGCACGGCTGGAAGAAGTGCCTTGTTCATTTTTGGGTTTTGGACAGATCGAAGATTAAAGAAAAACTGTTGGCATGAGGGTATAGTCCGAGAATGGAAATGGTCGGAATACTCATGAATCCTGGCCCAAAAAGAGCATTGGAATGTTTTGAGGGCCAAGGTAGGTAAGTAATAATGCGTACATGGATTGTTGCTGTACAGATGGGCGCTCTACTGGATCATTTGCAAAAAAAACCTTTTGCCTCATCCGTTTGTGAGGTCATGATCAGTGGCGGAAACAACATTGGCAACTCGGAGTGCAATGGATGTAACCGTGGATGTTGGGTGTCTTCAATGGGTTTTGGCCGACACTGAATGAAGGAACACCATGTCGTGCGAATTCCTTTTCCATCCAAGGCTTAAGAATAGTAGCTCCATGCTTTCCGGGCTACTTTGTGTTGGTGAACGGGTGAAGACCTACTTTGTACATCTTAGTATCATTGAACCTGTCGTACATGTTCATTGGTGTGACCATGCCTTCTGAAAATGGGACGATCCTCCGTGCAACAGTGTACAGTGAAACAACCGAAGACATCAGTACCAGTTCCCAAGCTACATGCCCTCTCGAAACACCATTCGAGACCTCTCAGCTCTGCAAACAAAGAAGCACCACTACCAGTGCGATGACCCTGAGCTGAGCGGAGAGAGGCTCGGGTGAGGCTCGGGTGAGGCTCGGGTGAGAGGAGCGCACTCCTGAGGTCGTGTGGGAGTGATCACCCACGAAGAGAAGCACCCGGGCTCCTTTGAGATGGTGCACGTGAAGGCGCACGTGCGCACGTGCGCACGTGCTGGCACACAGCCCCCCCCCAGGTTTTGGTGGAGCCTGCTCAGGCGACGTAGAAAAAGATATGTTTCAGATTTTAAGGCCCTGGGCTCGGTAGCCAACATCATTTCTTCGATCGGACATCACTTATACCATGGACACGTGGTGTGGATTCGAATGTCAAAGATAACAAGACCTTCAAACAGTCTTTGCGCAGCCTTTAGGAAAAACTGCGGTTTCTGCCATTCCCAGATGCCTCCCAGCCGCCCTCAGGTTGAGAAAAACAAACAAATCGCTCCTTCCAGGACGCCGTGGGACACAGCTTCAACACCCGGCTGGAGAACGTCTTCGTCATTGGCCAAGGCAACAAGCCTTGGATCTCCCTGCCCAAGGCCCATCGAGCCGGGAAAGAAGGAGGTCTCCATTCGACTGGTCGACTGGGTGAGCTACGGCTGGATTTGAGGTGCCAACAGAGGTTGAAGGACCCTATAGACATCTATCTACATCGATCTACAGACTATCATGACTATCCCATAGGTACCCCAGTAGGGTCCTATCAGAGAACTTAACCTCTCTTGACTTGGTGTAGCTGATGTCTTGTCGTTGGAGGTGCCCTGCTGTCAAAGGAAGCCACACACACAATCTTGCTGGGTTGTTGCACTGTCTCACCCGAATGGTAGGCGTCCTCTGACGAGGACAGGGGTTGATAGCCACCAATCATATTGGAGCTCTTGGCACCCATCTACATTAGAAGATATTTTTATTCGTTCACATATTTTCACATGGGGAAAAGCAGCTCGAATGAATTGCAAAACAGAAGGCCGTTCAAAGCAAGCCTCCGGGCCATCAGAAATCGTCCCAGTGGGATCCAGTTTCACTTCCTGATCGATCAGCCCGTTCGATCAGCCCCTGGTCGAAGCAAGTCGCAGGGCAACGGGATCAAGCTTAGCATTGTGGAGGACCGAGCTGCGCGAATGAAGTGAGCCGCGCGGCTGCTCAGTGCAGGGTCGGACCAAACGCAAGAGGTGTTTCTTTTAATCTCCGGAGGAGGCCGCAAATGATTGAGGATGATTGAGGTGAACGACAGATGCTTAAGACACTCCCAACGAATTACTGATTCAGATTCACATTACGGGCCAGAGTCTGAGGGCGAAAATCACCAAACAAAACATGGTTATCTTATGTTATCTCTTTCCCTAGTAGCGAACATTGCTCCGTTCGTAGCGATGCCAGGAGCCCCGTTCGTAGCGTCCGATCGCTCCGTTCGTAGTAAGGCCAGGAGCCCCGAACGTAGCTTCTTGTTCCTAGTAGCGATGCCCTGTGTTACTAGTAGCTTATTGTTCCTACTAGCGTCCTTGTTACTACTAGTAAGGCACTTGTTACTACTAGCGAGGCACTTGTAATTACTAGCAAAGGAATCTACTGGTTATCTGTTATCTCTTTCTGACCCATGAGGGGTGAACAATCTGGACCAACATGGCCACCAGGAGTGTCCGCATGTGATGTTTTCATTTTACCGGAGTGGATGTACTGCTGGATCAATGGGCTTCAGCTCCGCAAACCGAAGCACTTCCAATGACTCATTCCACCCATTTCGATCCCATTTTGAAAGTCATCACGCACCACTGCCAGGTAAAATGAGTCATATTTGGTCCGTCAGGGAACACGGAGCTCTGGGGACGAATCTACGGGCGATTCAGAAGAGCTTACCGGGCAAATCTACGACCTGAAGTTCTTTAAAGTTGAGATCCCAAAAGTCAAATCAACTATTATATAACAGCTGACTAGCTTTTTCGTGACGTACACCAACCGAATTCGCCCGCAAGAACTGCACTTTGGTGGTGTCCATCTGCCACGTTCGCAGAGACCGAAAGACGACGGCTTTGGACGAAGGACTTTGGTGACTTCATCCGAAGAGACCGCTCAGGTCTCTTCGACGCCGCGAAAACTGGAAAGTGACCGTTTTGCTGAAAGCCCTTGGAGGAAAAAGGGATCGAAGTGTTTTTCTTTCACGGAAAAGGGATCGTGGCGTCCTTATGATCGTGGCGTCCAAAGATTCGAGACGTGACCCGCAAGAACTCGTGGCTCAAAGTTTGGTCATGGTCGTTGGCTTCGCAAGTTGGATGTGAGATTCCAAGTGCGACTCAGATTTGTTTGCGATAGGCGCACGCACAGAATTGCTTCCGCACTTCGATTTTGAGTAGAGAGGCCTGAAGCACTGGATTCCAGCATGCCACCTTTGCCGTATCCATTTTGACGACGATCAAGTGCAGAGTGCGGGTTGGTCCCAAGCTTCAGTACTTGGATGCAGAAACATTTCATGTGCGAAGCAGCAAGGAAGTGCAGATTCCAGGGACCAAAACAGCTGTAGGTGTATCTTGTGAAACTGAAAATGCTGGAACATTAAAAAATTGGGGCATGCCCTGTATGCTGGCAGCAAACCAAGAACCTGTGAATATGGCATATCTACTTTCCAGACTTGTTAGGTTCACGCGGGGGGCTGTCCCAAAGAACGAGCACCGAGGACCACACACCTCTTGGACCAAAAACACACACACACACGAGCGCGGGCGGGCGCAAAGCTGGACAGAGAAAGACATGTTTTGTCACAAACTAAGACTTGCAGCCATGTATGCAAGAAGAAAATCCCAACCGAAGTCTTGGGAATGTTATGGACTCGGTATGGACAGACATGGCCAACAAAACATGAACAAACACCAACACAGTGCTGCGGGGACTGGATTGGTGACGCCATGGCGGGGCGCTGCGGGGTGAGCTTAGTCCGCCATGGCGATCTCCCTGCTTGAGCTCCTCACAGGCACGCAGCAGAGACAAGCGCACAAGACGCACAAGAGAGGTGCCACAAAAGGGAGGGAGGGAAGGAAGGAAGGGAGGGAGGAAGGGAGGAAGGAAGGAAGGAAGGGAGGGAGGGAGGGAGGAAGGAAGGAAGGGGGGAAGGAAGGGAGGGAGGAAGGGAGGGAGGGAGGAAGGGAGGGAGGGAGGAAGAGTTGCCAACAGATATGTTTGGTTGTGGCTGCAGGTAGCAGGAACAGCACTCTTTTAGGGGTCCTTTGCAGTTAGTGGCTGGCTTTGTCCAAGCGCCCAATGTCCGGTTCGGCCAGGTGCTGTGGGGCCTGTCCAAACGCCTCATGTGCAGTGCGTGCTTGACGAGGCTGACTGACTGCCTGGCTGACTGACTGGCACTAAGAGATAGCCCCTCCTGCTTTGCAGTTGGTCTCCCAGTTTGTGGGTAAACGTCTACTTTCCAGGCTGCCACCGGATCACATTATGGATACCTCTGCTGAGCACAACATGATTGCTCGCAATCTGCAATCTTCAGGACCTAAAATTTGTCCAGCCGACTTGTTGCTAGAGCGTGCTTGTGGATATGGAGAACTTGCTTGCGTCACCCCATTGCAGACCGACAAGGCAAGAATGAATGTTGGGGCACTGCAAAACGATAGAGTGTAAGATAAAATGATAGCAAAACAGGTCGTATAGCCAAGGGTTCATGTTTCTTTTTCTAGAACCTCAAAGGGGGATGTTGGAGGGTCACAAAACGAATCCCAAATTGCGTAGCAAAAGGCAGAGGCCTCGCCGGCCCGAGACCAGGCACTCAGCCTCCGCTTCGCTGCCAAGCCTGGCGACTTCGGTGCGACGTCGCCGGAGCGATGGGGAGGGCGATGGCACGGCACGAAGGGTGTAGATGAGGACACCAAGAACTCGCAGTCTGATAGTTTGATTATGTTTGATGGGCCTCCTGAACAAACATGATGGCACCGGATGTTTTGGTCAACAACGTTCAAGCAGGCTTAGGTGAACCGAGTTGTTCTTGCATCTGAGGCACGACCGATGAGCTGCACAGGATACTGATTTAGCTTCTGCTAGACTGACCCCATGTATGGTGTTTGTCACCGTCAGCCAACCAATTATATATACTGTATATATATATTATATTTTTATAACTATATATATATAGTTATACTATATATATATATCATATAATATAAGTACACATATATATATATATACATGGATGCATACACATTATATAGATGTTCTTTACAGGGGTTGACAGACTATGAGAGGCTTTTTGCTGATAGAACCAACATTCTTCAGTCCAACAAAGCAGGGTTGGCCTCTTAATGAGGGGAATGGCCACATGTGGACTATGGATGCCTGCCTTTGATTTTGCACCCAAGTTCGTGTCTCGGACAGTGCCCAGCGCTTCGACCTGCAGGTCGCAAGTGGTCCTTGCTTGAGAGAGAGAACCTCAATGCCTCGGAGGCGAGGCGAGTGGTGCGGCGTCAGCGAGTGGTGGTGCGCTTTCTTCGCTGTGTCACGACTCGAAAGAAAGACCTTGACATGAGAAGTCTGAACCAAAGGTTGAGTCCACGGACTGGATTGTGGCTGTCCTGCGGTTTGTGGCTGTCCATGCTGCATTTCTTTTCAATTGCAGCATGCAGCCTTGTTGATGTCGGACTGTTGCTAGAACTTAGCTCCAGTCATGTTCTTTGATCTTAACATATGGTTGAGGAGGTGATCCCCCAAATAGAATCTTGGAAGGGTGTTATGTAAGTGGATACTCGGCCTTGTCTGCTTTACATGGTGTCAAACCCCTGCGGTTGAGATCATCAAGGGCCAAGCCTTTGCATAAGAAGTGGGACAACACAGTGTAGCTTATGCAATGCATTCTATCTTTGCAAGTGTGCAGACCAGTGACCAAGAACAAATTCCGCCCAGGTTCTGTCACACATCAATGATCATCAGTGTGAGCTTGAAGAATTAGGACTTGGCAACTCTGCAGAAGGGTTTTCTTCTACTCTTCCCAGAATGGGTTTAAGGAAACCATATAGGAAAGCCATAGTTTTGGGGGTGAAAGCCATGGTTCCTGTGGGTTTTGCCTAAAACTCATTCATTGAACTCTATAGTTGCAAGGGACGGACGCATTTGTCACCACCAGGTACGAGCCAAACCTGCTCAGAAGCGCAAGCGGTGCCAGCTCACGGGGAACCTGGCAAAGGCGCAGGGGTTTTTTCACGTTGGTTGCGGGATGGTCGAAAAAACAAAACGTGGCAGGTATGCATGGTTTTGCTTAAGGTGATTTGTCACTTTCGCTATGGGCAAATCACCTTCCCGGGAATATCTTTTATGTTTTCCAGGTTCCTTGAGCAAATCCAAGTATGTGAATATAGTCCCAGACCTGTGGATGGGCTAGATACCAATGACAACAACTACAACCGTCTAACTGAAATCCTCTACTAGAACATCAGCTGGCAGCGGAAATGTCAAGCTGGGAGGTGGTACTTCTGGAGTCACACAGAGATAGATGAGTTTCTGCGGGCAGTTTCTCGAGGAACATCCATTTGCAAGCTCATTGGGTCTTCAACTCTCGGATACCATCCGCCACCTGGTGTCATCGGCACCACGCTTTCTGCTTGAACTTTGGTATGCCTGGTGCCTGTCCGGAACTCCGCTTCTGCACCAGCACAAGCACCAGGCAAGCCACTTCAAACAACAACCTAACGGCCACCGGCACATCCAGGATTGTCACAAGCACAAGAAAGCCATGAAAGTTGCCGGAACCTCTCCCCTCCGGAGCCCCTCCCCTCACCCTCGGTTTTCACGAACATGCACGGCCCACTGAGGGCCCACTGAGTGCACCACGGCTCAGGTGCTCAAGCCTCGGCTCTTTCCGTTTGAGGTCGGCCGACTGCGCCAGGCACGTTTTCACGCGCAAGCGCGCATGAGGTCGGATGCCCTGGGGTATTTTCCATGGATTTGGTATATGGATTGGTCAGCGGGTTCTCGTGAATTGTTCCATGAATTTGGGCACTGAGCCGCGGATTTGTTTCAATTATGTTCCAATGAGATTTGGTCAATGGACCAAATGGATTGGTCAATTCATCTTTTGCATTCTTTTGTCAAATGGTACTGCAACCACATCACGAATCGTGCAGCTTCTTGGTCCACGAAGCTACAGAGAACCCTCAGACTCACTGATTTTGGAGTACAGGACAATGTACAGGAATGTATGCTTCAGCTCATTAATGTGTCGCAGAGTTCCCGAAGATTCTTCATCAAAGCCTCTAAGAACGAAGCTTTTTGTTCGGGGGTGGTCACCCCATCTCATGACCAACAAGCAGGTCGAATCCCCACGCGACGCTCCCCCGACGTTTGGGGAACCGCTCCGATGCGATCCACGCGGAACGACCCCGCCAGGTGATGCTGGATCACCTGGAGAATTGGGGCTGTGCATGTGTCGGTTCATGAGCGTCGCTTTGGCTTGTTCGTGTCTATTTTTCTCTGGTACATTTTGGTGTTGGTTGGTTGAGTTGGTTGGCGAGTTCCGGGTGTTTCTCATTGCTAGGTTTCTTTGATGGATGTTTGTTGTGTGTGTTGGAATGCAGAGGTTTGTCTGGGGGTTGGTGAGTCAAATGGGTTGTTTTGTTTCACGGCCCATGAACAACAGATGCTCCCTTCAGTCCGGTGCCATGGTGGATTGCCAAGCCACAATTTCGGGACTTGGGATGCTGACAACAGGCGGTTTCAGTGGCGGTTTGAGCGGACAAACCCTATTGAACCATGAACCACTGTAGCTACTGTTACATACTGGTGAGTTAGAATACTAGTGAGTACTAGCAGCTACTGTTCATATTGTTGCACCTTGTTACATACTGTTACCAAAGGTGGTCAGAATACTACTAGTGACTAGTCCCCGGTGTGTTGATCGCCCAGGCGTGACCTGTTCCACAGAAGTCAGATGTTCTGTGGGGCAGCTCACCAGCCCCCCCAGCTAACCGCTAACCTCGATGGGTTTCAGAAGCTGGCTGGTACACGGTCCGGCAGACGACGATCTCAACCGACCCCATGGCGTCTGCCCCGGTTCGCGAACTGGGTCGCCAGCGACGAGCTCGTTCAACAGTCTTAGGGGTTGAGGTCGTTCTGCAGACTTCAAGCGACTTTTTGAGACATTCCACAGACTTCCCTGTGGGAAAGCCATCAAGCAAGACTATATGGCTCTATAGACTTCTTGGGTTCTATAGCCATTAAATTGTATACAGTTCTACATATATAGACTTTTCGGAAATTCCTACTACAAACTTTCCAGGAGCGCATCTTTGACCTGGCCTTGGTCTACCACGACTTCTACGCTGGCACTTTGCAGACGTCTCACCACGACGGCCCGCTACGGCATCCGGCCTCGTTGGTGAAGCGGCTGAAGGACTTCGCCGCTTTGGCCAAGGGTTGGCTCCTCGCTTCGGGGGTTCAGGCGAGCTGACCGCCGGCCTCGATGAGGCCGGCTGGCTCACACGAACTGGAAGCAAAGCACCCACGGAACCAGGGGGAAAAACATCTGTGCCGGCTGCTAGGGCCAAGCTAGTAGCTAGCATAACCATTGGTAGAAGCTTCAAACACAGCCCAAGCATGTGGGCTCATCTTCCAATGACTAGGGCAGGGTCACGAGTGCTGGGCCATGCTGCCCTTTGCTCAGATGAGGATGGTGAGGATGGTGCAAGGATGTTTTTCATGGTTGGTCTGTATAAAGATATATAAAGATTATATATAAAGGAGGAGATGGAGACGGAGGTTCCGAAGCAACTCGTTGGTCATTTTTTGTTCATGTAAAGATCCTCCCGTCCAATCTCCACCACCCGGTGCGAGCAAGGCCATCGGCGATGAGGGGGACCCCGAGGCGAGGCTGGCGACGTGGCGGTTCGAAGTTCGCGGTGGCCCTGGCGTCCGTGCCCAGTGGTTCACATCTGATCAGTACGGCTTCCTGTCGGTTCCCATTCGGTTCCCATTGGGTTCATCTTGCCCAGTCTGATTCACCCAACAAGTCTACTTCTCATGGAGGTTTCTCCGTTCTGAGCTCTTTTGACCCCTTGTGTTGTATAGGTAGGCATTGTTGGACCGAATCCAACCAAATCCAAGCGCGCAGTGGTCAGCCGGCCTCCTTCACGAGCGAAACTTGACAACACAACATGTGTGCGATCTTCGTGATCCCCAGTTTTTGCAACAGTACAGTGGCCAATGCCTATGATATATATATATATAATATGTAATAAATATACAGTATATGCATTGCTCCCGTGCCCCCTCAGCCACACGGGAGCACTGCATTCTTCGAAAGAAACCAAATGTCGCTCGCCCCTGGCAGATGAGGGCTATGCATACCCCCAAGATCCAGTGGATGAGCCTTTGCCTGCTGGAGCCATTTCTCCCAGCTCTGTCTTAGAGCTGGTGGGTGACTGGGCAAGCAGCTGGCTCTTTTTGGGAGATTTGCGCTTCTAGAAGTGACTAAGACGAGCGTTTTCCAGAGGTTCTATGTGGAGGACCCTCTATCAGGTCAATGGTCAATCCGGGCCTCGGGCCCAACAAGCGGGCGCGACGGTTTGGGCCGCTTTTGTTTGTTTCCAAAATGATGAACGCACGTGCCGTGCCCTACAGCAACTAACTTCTTCTCCACTTGCCAGAAGAACATCTAATTATATAGCAGGTTCTTGGTTTGCTTGGACTTTGGAGGAGCAACTGTAATCCGTAACACGTTTCGGACGTTCCCAAGCTGCTCATCAGCAAGTCTTCCCTGGCAACAGAGACAACTTCAACCATGCTCTATTGTTGCAGTCCCACGCAGGACTCTACAACTGACAGCCTTCCTGCCTGGCGCGTATGGGGCCAGGTAACTTCTTCTACCACGCCCACGGCCGCGAACAGTGCGCCCCGCATCACTGTCGGGAGGACGAGGTTCCTGTGCTGCGATTGGCGAAGGTGGTGCCACTACACATGCGAAAGGCCTTCTGTGCCTTGGTGCTTCAGGGTGGCGCTTTGGGCGGCAAGAAACGAAGTGCATCAGAAGGCCTCAGTCAGTGGTGATTGGGGGGGCTGAGGTACGCCAGATGATGAGTGGGGGGTTAAACCGGGTAAACCAGACGAGTTTGGGGGAAAGCAGTTGGACCTGTTTTCGGATGTTTTAGAACCTCAAAGCCTCAATGAATCTTGCCGTTCGTCGCACTCCAAAGTCTGACAGGGGCGAGGACCCCGGACATTTCAATGTGTTCACTGAGAGAATGTTTACTTGTCCCATCTTGTCCCCAAACACACTTGTCTTCAGATCCTTGGGCCGGGCAAGGTAACTACTATCACTTCACCACGGTGGGCCTGGCACGCGTGGTGGCACTGCTGCCACGGCTCAAGGCGGATGAAAGCATCCTGGTGCTGATCCCCTATACCAACAAGAGCCATGCACTAAAAGCCGTTCATTGGGGACGATTTTGTTGGACACTCTCAGGAGTTTACCAAGATGCCCAGAAAATAGCAAGGTGCCCCTTTCGTGTCCGAAAGGACCCTTGACATGGCATAATGCGTTTTATTCATGCCATGATCGACATGAATGAACGCTTGAGCCCCCCCACGTGAATGGATGGTGAAATGGGTCGCCCCCCCGCGGGTCGCCGACCGGGGCTTCGGCCCTGAAAGAGGTCCGAGACCAGGACCTGTTGGGCCCGGAGTCTAAATGGATGAGATGAGCAGAACGAATGGCTGTTTAGAGACAGAACTGGCTATCCATACTATCATATACTATCCATTCGTTTTTCCTTTAGATTGTTTTTATTTTTTTTTGGGGGGGATTAAAACGAGCAGATGGCACAGACATGGTTTCAGAGTATTGTAGATGGTCATAGATGGTCCACAGGTCTTTTTTCACCGGACTCAACTTCTGTGAGTCTTCGCGCGGGCTGGGCTTCCCTTCCTTCGTCCATAGACGACACCATCGAGATATCGAGACCATGTCCAGAGGAAGGTGTGGTGTGTCCATTCAGCGAGTGTCCCAGCTGAAACGGGTGTGTCATGGTGTCAGTTCAGCCACTTGAAATCGGTTTCCTTTGAATTCCTTATTTTGTGTATATTTGGACTGGTTCGGTGGCGGGGGTGCGAGGTGAATACCCGAAATGTGGGCGCATGTGTCGCACTGCCGATTGTTTGTCTTCCTTCCTCCCAAACCTCTCCGTTTCGAGCTCTCACACGAGGAAAGGACAACGTTCACCTTACATACGCGAGAGCCTGCGTTTTCTAGGCCGGGTGTGACTGCAGAAATGCCGGTGAAGAGTCTTTAAGATCTTTAGGCTAGACCTGTGGGTGTTGAGTATGTTGAGTGTTGACTAGGCCTTGTGCTGTGGCTGAAGTCTTCCCGCGCCACCTGAAATAAACATGATACACCATCTCAACCCCCCTCAAATCATCTTTGATTTGCAATTCTGTCAGCTCTCCCGCCATTCCTGTCAGCTCTCCCGATTTGGGGATTGGAGGTGTCGAGGAGCAGCGGATCGTCAGCTTCCCCCCCCGTGTCGCCTCGTCTTCGCGGATGAGCTGCTCCTCGCCGGCAGCGGGCCTCGCAGTGCCTTCGGCCGCGATCGGCAGACACATGCGCGGGTGGCGTGGCCGGAAGAGTGAGAGGGTGGGCAGGGCTGGGCACACTGATCCGCTGTATTACGAGGAGCTGAGGGATGACCTGCCCAATGAAACACACATGAAACCACCAAACACCAAGAGCTTCATAAGAGACATGTACTCGTTCAAACATTTACAACACCATTCCCTATAGGAGGGAGGACACATAATGAAACTACCCATGGAGACCATCGCTAGTAATTAGGTTGGAGGCCACCGCTAGTAGTTAGGTTGGAGGCCACCGCTAGTAGTTAGGTTGGAGACCATCGCTAGTAATTAGGTTGGAGGCCATCGCTAGAAAAAAATGTTGGAGGCCATAGCCGCTGGTAATTAGGTTGGAGGGCATCGCTAGTAATTAGGTTGGAGGCCATCACTACTAGTTAGGTTGGAGGCCATCGCTAGTAGTTAGGTTGGAGGCCATCGCTAGTAATTAGGTTGGAGGCCATCGCTAGCAATTAGGTTGGAGGCCATCGCTAGTATTTATGTAGCACGCCATCGCTAGCAATTAGGTTGGAGGCCATCGGTAGTAATTAGGTTGGAGACATTAGATTGGAAGCCACCACTAGTAATTAGGTTGGAGGCCATCGATTAGGTTGGACGCCAACGGTTTGGAGGCCATCGATTAGGTTGGAGGCCATCACTAGTAATTAGGTTGGAGACCATCGATTAGGTTGGAGGCCATCACTAGTAATTAGGTTGGAGGCCATCGATTAGGTCGGAGGCCATCACTAGTAGTTAGGTTGGAGGCCATCGATTAGGTTGGAGGCCATCGGTAGTAATTAGGTTGGAGGCATTAGGTTGGAGGCCATCACTAGTAATTA